TCTCCATGTCCAGTGGGTCTGTGGAAGACGATCCATGGAGAGAAGGCGTGTTGCCAAGTACCTCCCATATCTCTAAAACATGTGTTAGATATGCTTCTAAAGTGCTCAAGGTTGTTTGAAGCACGTCTCCAACATGCTTAACTCATGTAGAAGCAATTCAAAAAATTGCATGCCAATGGTCGAACGGTTCGAATGTCCACTGTCATGGCACCCACAATAGTGGGGGTGGCGTCGGGAACCCGTACCCCCCAACCCGAACGTTGGGTTTTCGGGTTGGGTCGGGGTTGTCCAGCATGTAGTCATGGCGGCTTCCAGCCCCCCCCCCCGCCCCGCGCCATGCCGCGCGCTGCTCGGCCACGGCCTTATCGCTCGCTCGCGTCCTCGCAGGGCGCGTCGCCTGCCGGCAGGTGATCCTCGGCCAGACCAAGCTGGAGGGGCTGAAGGCGGCCCCAGGGGAGAGGGGGGTGCCCAGGCTCGCAGCGGGCGCCCACTGGAGAGAGAGAGAGAGAGAGAGAGAGAGGGAGAGAGATATAGAGAGAGCACGCTGCGCGAAGCGACGTTCCAGCACGAGCCGCCGGGAATCATTTTTGACCCCCCCCCCTGTATGAAGTATGGCGAATGCACGTAACAGCTATTCTGCTCGCGTTTGCACACGTGAGCGCCCGAGCCCTGCAGGACTGCACCATGTCTACAGCATTGCGAAGTATCTAGCATCCAGAACGCACGGTTCATACTATTCAGAGACATCGAAGAATTTGTGAGCTCCGAGGAACAATCTATCCTGATCTTGGTTGTTGAGCTGTTCCTCCGAGGAACAAGAGCCATGGTGATGATACGTTTCCAGGGTCCCAAGACTTCCACGATGTCCAAGATTTCCGATGTGCCCAAACGGGCTGCAGAAACGAGGGCCGCCATTTGTTTCTGGATTCTCAGCCACTCGTATCATGACGTCAGTCTCGTCCTGTAAGCGTCCTCTCGCCACTGTCTCCATCTCCCCCCGCAGCGCAGTCCCGGGTGCTCCTGTCCTTCTGCTCTCAACTTCTCTGATCCTCCTCTCCCGCATCAGGCCAGAAAGGGGAGGGCATGACAGGGCGAGAGGGTTAGGGGTGGATGGTGGCTATGGGTCATGGGCATCGAGGACGGGGCGAGGGGGCGGGGGAAGGGGAGGAGGAGGGGGGCGACATCCAGTGACGAGGGGGGAGCGACCCCAATCAATGGGTCGGGGCCTGTGTTTTTTTTTTCCCCCCCCCCCCCCCCCCCTTTTTTTTTTTCTTGGTCGGGGCCTGTGGCTTACTGGTGTCACACAGGGTCTGCTGCTGCCGACGCTGCTGCCGCGTTAGCCGCGCGAGCGGCCCGGCCCAGCGCGACTGCCTTCTCCCACGGAAGCCCAGAAAGATGCAAGCCTCTCTTGGAATGAAGCGCCCTGGGGCCCGAAGCCAAGCGATGGCAGAAACCAACGCTGGGGTCGTCACGACACGAACGTGCCGTACACCAACATACCTTGCTGCCAATAGGCTCAGGAGGGGGCCGAGGACCTCCTTGCAGCCCCTCGGCGAACACGGAGACGGCTGCAAGGAGGGTTCCAGGGAACCTCCTCTTTTCAACACCAACCAACAGTTTCTCATGTTCCTCTTCCCCTCTCCGCAGCCGCTTCGGCTCACGGCCGGTTTGGCTGAGGCGCTGCCGAGCCGCTGACAGTGGCGAGCGCCCCCAGACAGTTCTGCGCCTCCTGCGCGTGCTTCCTTCCATCCCCTCGGGCGCCAAGAGCTGCGCCCGCACACTCAGACACCGGTGCTGGCCAGGCCGAGGCTCGGTGCACCCGCCTCCCTGCCCAAGCCAGGAGGGCGCATGCACAGTGCCACTCGGACGCAGCTCCTGGGAGGTCACGTTCAGCATCGGCGTTGGCATTTCCGCTGTCAAACTTGCCGAATCCCCGGCATCATGCGGCCAAATCCGGATCAACCCTGCTGACTCCGCCAGGCTGACTTCGGCCTAGTCCAGCTCAGTGGCCCCCATAGCAGGGCTCAGTGCCTTTTAACCGTTCTTACAAAGACCTCCCAGGAGGTGCTTCCTAAGGTCCATGCGCCCAGTATTCGAAGAAGAAAGAGCGACATTAATCCCGTGCGCCCAGCGCGGATTTCTTGGTTCCGCGCTGGGTCCCCTCCGGCGTCGCCCCTGGCGCGCTCCGCGCGCCACGGAGGGGGGTCCAGCGCGGGTCCAAGAAATCCGCGCGGAGCGCCAAAAGTGTATATCCCCCAATCAGTGCTTGCACTGAAGGGGTCCTAGCGGAAGTTGAAAGATTTGGCGACAGTTTCCCGCCGATTTTGGTAGCGTAGCAGGCTGGTTTCCCGGGTTCCTGGGTTCCGAGCCGATTTCGGTGGGTTCTGGGTTCCCAGGCTCCCGGGTTCCCGGTCGATCTCCTCAGCGAAAACCATCCACTGATTGGGGCTTTGTTTTGGTGTCATATCTTTACGGCGTTGCTTCTTCTTCTAACTACGGGCCAGGCCAGGATTGGTGTGTTCCACCTCCTCGCCAGATGGCAGCCCGATCGCACCACGCGCCCTGCAGGCCGCCCGCGCCGACGACAATTAGCCCTTCGTAAACGCACGCTTGCGTTAGGTTGGGCCTGTCCCTTTACAGGAGGAAAATGTGTTTACAATTGGGAAAATATCAGGGGACAATTTTTCTACCATCTCACGATTTGGGAATCTATTGGGGCTATTTTTGATTTTTCGTCCAAAATCCGCCTGTCGGGGGACATGCCCGACCTAATGCCCGCGGAGCCCCGCGCGGAGCTCTCGAATCGGCGTTGGGCCTCCCTCTCTAGCGCGCGGAGCCCGCCAGGCCTAGAGATCCAGCGTACTGAAAAGATCAAGACGGAGGTTTTTGTGGGTTTTGCAAGTTTTCGGCCTCTGGAGGCCCTCGCAAGGGCCCGGGACCGCCCAACAACAACGCAGGATGAAACACCGGCCCTCTGGGGAAGGGGTCGGGACTTCCCGAGGCCCCGTCGTGAACAAATCACGACGTTGGATCTCTGGGGGGGGGGGGCAGCGCAGATCCAGGAACTCCACGTGGGCCTCCAACAGTTTACGTTGAGCAGCGGGCGGAGAAGAGATGTAGCACCCCGCAGTTGCGGACAAGAGCGAGGGGGCGGGCGCGGGGTGGATCTCGGTGTGGGTCGCGGTGTGGGTCGCGGGGTGGGTCGCGGGGTGGGTCGCGGGTGGGCTGACACGGGGGATGCGGAGAAGGGGGCTCCTTCCAGGCCCCTGCTGGCTCCAAAAGAGGGGGCCCTCCAGGGGCCCCTTCAGGGCCCCTCCCTCTTGACCCCCTCACTGAGGTCCCTCATGGAGGTCCCTCGTTGAGGTCCCTCGTTGAGGGCTTCTCCCGCTGGACCCCCTCATGGAGGCCCCCCCCCCGCTGCCAGCCGCCCGAGATCTGTCCGCCGCCCGTGCCGTGTGCAGTTCCTCGACCCGCTCCTCGGCCACAGGCCGCCCGCGCCAGGCCCGCGCCTGGCCCGGCGGCCGCCCCCGGCGGACGCCGGCGGCCGCGCCGTCTGGCTGCGGGAGGGCCGCCGGCACTCCCCAGCCGGCCTGCAGGACAAGCGCAGGGTCTATTTTTTTGTTTATATATATACATTTCTCGGAGGAAGAGTAGGTAATTACCCCTACCGCTGCCCTTCGCCCGCTTGGCCCTTTCTTGGGCCTCCCGGGAGGCCCTCGTCGCCACCGCCGGGTTCGCCCCGGAGTTTTGGTCAGAGCGCACCCCGGCAGGTGCTCAGGGAGCAGCGGCATCGGCATCTTTTACACCCCGATTCCCCACTTGCCCCCGAAAAGGCAGGTCGCTCTGAAGAGAGGGGGAAGTCGGGGATCGGAGCCCATTCGGAGGGAGGCATTTTTCGATGCTACATGTTTTCAATGTCCGCACAGTTTGTTTCGTGCAGCCGTTGACTTCGTCGGCTCCATCGGGGGGTGCAGTGAGGGCTTCCCAATGACCGAGTAATCTCGTACACGACCTTGAAATTCACCAGCGGGACCTGACACATGTCGTGAGGGCCCCAGGGGTAGCTTGAATGATATGAAGCGCGTTGCTCGAGACTGGAGGGCTTTTTCACAGGGGGGCTCAGAACTCATAAAAGAAACCTGTGGCTCCTGAGGACCCCCTGCTGTGCTGTTCTGACAAAGGTCCTGAGATTTTCCCTGGAAGCCACATGCGATGTCTACGCATTCGACGAGAATTCCCGCGGTACTCCGAAGGTTTTCCTTTGGATCTCGAAGGCACCCATACATATGCAGTACCCGCATCATGAACTCCCCAGATATACTGGAAGATTATGTGAAGCGGCCCTGGGCTATTCAGCAGGTGTTTTTTCCACGATCCCCGCGAGTAGCCCCAATGACTTCCAAATGACACCCCCTCAGGTGTAACCAGGGAACATTTACGATAATATATCAAGACCGATACCGTTCAAACTTGACGCGTGTTTTCACACCTTGCGGTGGTGTATGATGGGCATCCGGAGCACCGCATGTTTTCGTTACGTTCTTTCAACCATGTGACTCAGGCGAGCCGCACGCGGCCCAATGGGCCACAGGACCGCCGATTGTCTCCGATAACTTCGCAAGCGCGCACTGGGGGGGGAGCACCAAGCGGCGCCGCGGTGATGGCTGCGATGTCGGGGGGTGGGGCGGGGTGAGGGAGCGCAGCACTTACAGTCAACGCGCCAAGGCCAGGCAAGGACGCGCGCCTTAATCCAGGGTGCCCCTTGTGCCCTTGCCTCTCTGGCCCGTTCTTTGCCGTTTTGACGAGTCGCCCGCCGCGGAACAAAGCCCATCTTGGGCCTCATAGGGCATTGCGTTCTTGCCACCCGTCATAAATGGACGTTTTGATTGTAAAGCCAACCGCGTAGTTCTGGTCGGCAGCATGCACGCGGCTGCGAGAGGCTCCAGACCCTTGCTTTCGATCCTCATCTTCACCCGCGTCATCGTCATGAGCCTTTCTCTGACTTGCGCAAGCAATTACTACGAGCACTACTATAGCACCACTACAGCAGAAGCACGGGGGACACCGTGTCAGAATCATGCGTGCCTCGACTTCTCTGGACACGCGGCTTGCCCGCTCCGAGTGAGCTCCACGATTCGCATCGCACAAGGCGGCGCTGTCTGTCGAGCTCGTTCGGCGTGGACCGGCCCTGTTCCGCCGAATGGGACAGGGAGTTGGATTCAGGAGGGAAGAAACACACAGACACAATTGATTTCGATTCCCCAGAAAATATGCGAAAATATGGGAAGTCGGGGAGAAGACAGAAACCCAGAAAATATGAGAACATATGGGGAATCTGTTTATTTGTGTGTATTTATTTCTGTGTCCTGGGGCCCCCACAAGGAGTTGGATGTTCCCGATTCGCAGACGGAGGAGCTCAGTTTGCAGCCGGACGAGCTCAGTTCGCAGCCCGATGGTTTCTGACAGTCCGCCGGAGGGGCCCGAGTTTCGTCAGATTCGGGGGTGGACAGAACCCCCAACAGCGACACGTCGATTAGTGAATTGTCCGTTTTCGGTTCTCGAGAGGGCGCCGTGGCCGTTCTTTTCCAGGCTTGCGCCCACCAGGTTTGGGCCCGAGGTCGTTTTCACGAAACCACGTTTTGCCAAAAGGAGGTCTGTCCATGCCCGACAGATGAGCTCGGCTGGCGCTGGATGGGCTCAAGCTCGTTCCGCAAGTGAGTCCGCTGGATGAGCTCCGAGGATGGTCGGTTTTCAGCTGGCCGCCCCGGGCCAGAGCAACGCGAGCGCACTACAATGCAACATGCCCAGGCTTGCAAGCTTCTGACGGCCGCCGAAGACTTCTAAAGGCTGCTAAAGGCCACGAGAGGCAGCTTAGATCAGGAGGGAAAAAACACACAGACACAATTAATCGTCGATTCCATTGAAAATATGGGAAAATATGGGAAGTGGCGGGGAAGACAAAAAGCCAGAAAATATTAGGAAATATGGGGAATCCTTTTATTTGTGTGTGTTTTTTTTGTGTGTCCCAGGGCCCCTTCATAAAAGTCCACTACGGGGAACCAACAGGCTGCTAATACTTCACTCAAGGCCGCCAGAGACCACTGAAGGCTACCAAGCCGAGGCAGTGTATGGTAACATAAGTGTCCAAAAGACTCGCCTAATCTGGGGGCCCTTTCACCTTTGTTGCCAGCTTTTCACCCCGCGTCGTTTCTGTATTGTCCCGGGGCCCAGCGAGTGGCCCGCAGAGGCCGAAGACGGCCAGAAACCTTCCGTCGAGATGATTGCACGGTGCGAGCATGTCCGTGTCTTGCGTGTAGCCCACCCCTCTCTGCAGTCTTTTCTCGCGCTCGTGTCCCCCACCGTTTTGCCGACCGCCGCCGGAGTGTCCTGGACCACTCGGCGCCCGCGGATTCACGAGTAAACCGACCCCTATCGGGGTTATTTTCAATCTGATCGATCTGGCTCGATGCCGATTCTGGCCGTCCCGGTCCGATCCGATCCGATCCCGAGATACCGAGGATCCGACGTGGCCCGATGTCTGCATGCCGCTGCTGTGCATCCCAGATGCCTCCGATCCGACTCCGGTTCCGTGTCGATGCAGGCCGATCCGAGGCAGGCTCCGCCTTTCTCGGACTTCCGATCCGCTGCCGAGCCATCCTGCCCCTTCGTCCCCTGGCAAGCTCGGACGTGCGCACCCCTTCCTCAGGGAGGGCCCCCGAGGAGCAGGCTGGGAGCATCGCGCGGGAAAAAAACGAGGCGCGCACGACGGCGCAGCCTCGCTGCGCACGGTGAAGGGGGCGTCCGAGCCACCGCGAGGCCCCCGACCCGACATGGCGGCCGCCCCGGCCGTGGCCCCTGTGGAGGCCGTGGTCCCCCCGGAGCCGTCTCCCCGCCGCGCTCCCGCCGCCCCGGCCGCGCCACGGCGGCCAGGAGAGCGACGAGCGCAGGGGCCGTTTTCCCCCCCTCCTCCTCCTCCTCCTCCTCCTCCTCCTCCTCCTCCTCCTCCTCCTCCTCCTCCTCCTCCTCCTCCTCCTCTCCTCCTCCTCCTCCTCCTCCTCCCCATCCTCCTATCCTCCTCCTCCTCCTCCCCTCTCCTCCTCCTCCTCCTCCTCCGCGACGCGGCCCGCGAGGGCCGCGCCCGCAGGCCAAGGGGATGCGAGCTCGCGCCTGCTTGGGGTCGGGCGTGCCCCCCTGCAGGGGAGCCTTTCGACGAAGAGCAGCAAGTAGGCAAAACATCCCCCGACCTTCGACGAAGAGTAGCAAGTAGGCAAAACATGCCCCCAAAATGCTCACAAACCGTCCCAACCCCCCGGACCACTTTTATGACTCATTTTGAGCATTCCTCCCGCAGAGGGACGGCTTACGGCTGACGCCCGACTTAACACGCCGATTCAACACCCGAACTAACGCTCGACTGACGCGGCACGACGAACTTTGCATATTTTTACGACTAGCGCCCAACCTGCGCCCGCTCCCCGAGGACGCCACCCCTGCGCCCGGCAAGTGAAAACATACCCAAAATGTTCACAAACTGTCACAAAATCCTCCCCATCATTCCCCATACCATTTTTACCAGTCTTGAGTATCCTCCCGTAGAGGGACACGCCCCGACTTCACACCTGCTGCCTCTTGACATCGCTCCGTGTGCGTGTGCATTTTCTTCCTCGCGAGGACCATCGAGGAGCATCCTTGATCATGTGGCGAAACAGCACGCACGAAACCGGAAAAAGCACAGGGAATGGACGTCCGAGCGATGGCCAGGCCTGCTCCCCGAGGACGGCCGCCCCTGCGGCCCGGCCCCCCCCGGCGGCGGCGGCGCCGCGCCCCCGGGGGCCGCCCGGCGGGCGGCCGCCCCCGAGGCCTGCCGCGAGGGCGCCGCGGGAGCACCGCGGCAGGCGCGGGGCCGGCAGGGGGCTGCCGAGGCCGCGGGCGGGCGCCCGCCGCTGGCCGAGCTGGTGCCCTTTTCCATCAGGAGGGGAAAAGAGCTCACAGACACAATGAGTCGTGGATTCCCAGACAATATGCGAACATATGGGAAGTGGGGGGGAAGACAGAAACCTAGAACATGAGGGAAAATATGGGAAAAAAACGCGCCGCTGGCAGAGCTGGTGCCCTTTCTATAGACTCACAGTGGAACTTCCCGGGGTCCAGAGGTCCTGGGCCCTCCTGCAGCATGTTTTCGGCCCTGGGCACCTTTTTCAGATAATAACCTCTGAAGGCTCACCGAAGGCATGTTTTGAGAGCGGTTTTCCTGGAACCTGAGACGCTCTGCCTGGCAACGGGCACCGTCTGCAGGGCGCTCTGGTGAGACTGGGCACGGCAGCGTGACCAGCCTCACCTCAGACCCTGTACAGGCCTCGGAACAAATTAGCGAACACATGCCACATTCATCCGTCAACGCCTCCCCCCCCCAATGTTCAAAGTTGGCGGTGGGTCTGATGAGATGCACTTCGACCGCAGTCTCCCCCGCGCGTGCCAACATTGAGTTTGGGGGGGAGGGGGGGGTTCAGTAATTGTTTCCCTCTATCGTATGTCGGGCGTGTCCCCCTAGAGGGGGATTTTCGACAGAAAAAAAAGTACCCCAAAAGTACCCCGAAGGGGTCAAAAACTACTCAACACATAGTCCCCCGACTATCTTTGGATTATGTTTTGACTATCTTTGGGTTATGTTTTATTTTTCGTCGAAAATTCACCTGTTGGGGGGCTGGCCCGACTTAATTTTAGACTTGCGTCGGGCAGGACCCTGTGCAGGCGGATTTGCAGAGGAGGAAAAACGGTACCCACACCCCTACCCCTCGCCCGTTTCCCCTTTTTTCGGCCTCCTGGGGGCCCTCGTCGCCACCGCTGGATTCGCATCGAGATTCTGGTCAGATCGCACCCGAGGAGAGGCCCGGGGAGTAGTGGTATTGGTACCTTTTGGCTTCCCCATATTTTGGACGGAAAATTAAACATAGACTAGACATATGATCAAACATAGTCAAAACTTATACACAAAACATTGTCCCCAGACTATGGTTTGACTTTTTTTGCGCATGTCTCCTGTGGAGGGACACGCCCGACTTCACTTTAAGTTCAAGTAGGGCATTTCACTCTCCTGGAAGAATATTCAAACATAGTCGAAACACATTCCGGGGACGAGTCGTCGACTATGTTCGACTTTGTTTGGACATTTTTAAATATTTCCCATGTTTTCTCCAGTATCCGCCTGAAGGAGGACATGTCCGAACTACATCTAGGCCTCCCAGATGGGTTCTGAGCAGATGGGGTCGAAAGATCGCGCCGCATCGCCGGTGCCTCGGGGATGCATCTCGACGTGGAGCCCGATCTTCTCCGCACCGGCGTCGCCGACGCATCGCCGACGTCGCCTATCGATCGGTGGTGCATCTACGATCCTCCGACCCCATCCACTCCGACCCTATCTGGAAGGCTTCTGTGCTCGTTTCGAGCAGTGGCCAAGCGTCCTGACTTGCACAACCATAGGCCTGCCAAAGAGAATCCAGAGGAGGAACAGGCACCGATGCCGATACCCTTCCCTCGTTTTCCTTCTTTTTCTGGGCCTCCTGATTGGCCCTCGTCGCCACCGCTGGGTTCGACTCGGGATTTTGGTCAGAATGCGCCCCTGCAGAGGTATGGGGAGTAGTGGCATCTGTACCTGTTAGTTTCCCGAAGGATGTTCAAAGGCGCCGGCCCATCGGGCCAGAGGCATACTACATTTTTCCTGAGTCAGGTGGATTGTAGATTTAGTTCACGAGCTGCGTGCCAGCCCCTGGGTGTCTCGGACGAAAAGCTCCCCAGGCGGATGCCGGGCAACTCCTGGGCGGTCGGTGCCACGGATGTTGGAGCTCCTGGGGGCCGCCTTCGTGGCTTTCAAGATCGGCCCAGCGCATATCTAGGCCTCCCGAATGGTGTTGGAGTAGATGGGGTCGGAGGATCGTGCCGCATCGCCGATGCATCGCCGATGCGGCTCGATGTGGAGCCCGATTTTCTCTACGCCAACGTCGCCGATGCATCGCCGACGTTGCCAACGCATCGCCGATGCAGCGGCGATGTTGCGCGATCCTCCGATCCTGCCGCTCTCCTGCGACCCTGGCGTCGCATGTTCTGCACAACGGGCGGTTGTACATTGGTTCGGTCCCCCAGGGCCCTCACGGATCGATCCGGCTCAAAAAGTGCATCAGAGGAAATGGGATCTAGGGCATCAGTCGCGATCGTTGATGAGTTTGCGGCCGGCGCCGATTTCGTTGTTTGTCCTGGAGAGCCTTCGTCGCCACGGCTGGATTCGCCTCGAGATTCTGGTCAGAGCGCACCCTGAGTGGGGTCTGGGGATCAGCGGTACCGGTGCCTTTGTGTTCCACTAGGTGCGCCGGCACGGCCTTCCTGAGGTGGACCCCGACCTCCGTCTCGACGAAGGGATCACCACCATGGTCATCGTGAACGTACCCTATGCGTATCCGAGGCAGATGTTGCAGGCGGACATCAACGAGTGGGGCTTTCCGTACAACTACTTCCATTGCCCCCAGGACTCCCGCCAGGGGAGGAGCCGTGGCCTGGCGTTTATCAATTTCCTGACGCCACTGGCAGCGGCGGCGTTCAAGCGGTGCTTCGACAAGCGCGAGCTCTCCTGCCCAGGAGCCGAGGCCCAGGTGGTCACGGTCCTGCCCTCCAGGCTGCAGGGCCTCGAGAAGAACGCCCAGCTCCACCCCGAGGGCCGGGTTCTCGACCCGCACTGGCAGCTCCACCAGCACCGGCAGCGCACGCGGCAGCTTCTTGGCGGCGCGCACAAGGGGGTGGGGGGAGGGGGGAGGGCTTCTTAGAAGGAGGCTGCTTCTCAGAAGGCGCCGGCCTTACATCTATAGATAAGGGCCGCGCCTTCTAAGAAGCACGGGTGCTTCTAAGAAGCCTTCCCCCCTCCCCCCACCCCCCTCTGCGCGTGGCCGAGCTTCGACAGCAGCAGCAGGCGCCCGCCGGCGGCTTCGACAGCAGCCGGGGAGCCTGCCCCGCCGCGCCCGCGGGGGCGGGCCCCGGCGCCGCGGCCTGCAGCTCCCGGGCGGCCCTCGGCCCCACGCGGCGCCCCCCGCCGTGGCCGCCCGGGGCCGCGCCGCAGCTGTGCAGGCTGTCCCTCTGAGGGCCCGACCGCGCCGCCGTGCCCGGCCTCGCGTCGGGCACGGCCCTCTCCAGGAGGCAGGCTCGAGACAGTCAATCGGGCCGGGCGAAAGGGGGGGATTGGGAAAGGGGGGTTACGAAATTTGCTGCATGCAGCTGGTTTCGGCCTCACCGAGGGGCCCATTCCTCGATACATGGCCGCCTCCGGCGCCGGGAGGCGCCGGGAAAATCAGCTACGTGAGCTGATTCTCAAACCCCCCCTTTGCTATCCCCCCCTATTGCCCGATCCGAGTCAAAAATGCGATGGGGACGGTTTCCCGATTGTTTTATTATCGGGGGAGCGTAAGACCCGGGTTTGCCAGGACTCGGGTTCGCCATCGTTGTTTGACGACCGCGCCTCGGATTTGCCGTCGGACACGCCCGACCCGGTGCCGGGCCTGGCCCGTGGCGCCCGCCGCAGCCCCCCTGGGGGTCGCACGGCCGTGCGGCACGGCGATGATATTTTTCGGAGGTCCACGCGGAAGTCCTGGATCGGCGCCGGCCCCCCGTCCCTGGCGCGCGCCCTCACTCCCTCCCTCCCTCCCTCCCTCCTCCCTCCCTCCCTCCCTTCCCTCCCCCCCCCCTCCATCCATCCATCTACCCTCCCTCCCTCCATCTTCCCCCCCCCCCCCCCCCATACCTCCCTCCCATCCTCCCTCCTTCCCTCCCTCCCTTCTCCCTCCCACCCTTTCTCCCTCCCTCATACCCCCCTCCTCCTCCGGAGCGCAATAGGGAGGGGGGCCGAGCGCGGCTCCAAGAGATCCGCACGGAGCGCATCCGATCGTTGTGCAGTGTTCTCTTCCCCTCACCCAGTTTGGCTTTCAACATCTCGGCTTGGCGGGTCGCTCTCTCGAGCCGAGTTTGTCTCGCGCTGCAGGTCGCCTCAGGTTTGACGCAGGGCGCTCGCGCATCGGTGCTCCATCCCACGCATCCTGGTTCAGAGGAGCAAGAGGTCATGATAATGTTACGTTCCAAGATTTCCTGGATTTTCCAGATGTCCCAATTATTCCACATGTGTTGCAGAAGCGAGGGTCGCTTGATACTATGGAAATCCTGATAGGTATCGTGAGCCGGTCCGGTCATAGTATATTTGTCGTTGCAATCCTGATTTCCAGAGATCCTGGTTTCCAGAGATCCATAATCCGAAGATTTCGAAGCTCCGCGCGTATTTGTCGGATCGGCGCCAGCCCCCCCCACCCGGGCGGCGCCTCCAGCGCAGCCCCCTTGTGCCGATCTAGGACATCCACGCGGAGCTTGGGGGGAGCGAAATCCACGTGTAGATTTTTGCTTGTCCTCTCGCAGCAGGCTTCCCCGATGAGCGATCGCCCGTCGCGCATTTTCCACGGGAGAAGGAGGAGGCCCGGCAGGAGGCGCAGGAGCATGGGTCAGGATTGGGCATCGGGGGCGAAAAAGAGGGGGGTGATGACTAGGGGGGGGGTGGATATCATGGCGTGGGCCATGATATTTCCCCAGATTTCATGGCGCCTCTTCTTATTTCATTACGTCCCTGGCCCCCCCCCCGCTGGGCCGCGCACATGCCGCCGGTCATGATTTGCACCCCCCCCTCTCGGACACCCCCCTCCTTGGCCGCTCCCGAGGGCAGGCCCCCCCATCGAAGAAGAAACAACGCCACGAACATAAACTTCGAGCCCTCCGCGCTGGGCCCCCCGCGGCGGCGCCTCCGCGCCGCCCCCCGCGCGTGTGCAGCCTCCGCCGCGCCGAGCGCCCCCGCCCCTCGCTGGCCGTGCGTGGCGCCTCCTCGGCTCCCTCGCGGGCACCCGGGGCGCGGAGCTCCTCCTCCTCCTCCTCCTCCTCCTCCTCCTCCTCCTCCTCCTCCTCCTCCTCCTCCTCCCCCTCCTCCTCCTCCTCCTCCTCCTCCTCCTCCTCCTCCTCCTCTTCCTCTTCCGCCTCCTCCTCCTCCCCCTCCCCCTCCCCCTCCTCCTCCTCTGCGGCTCTCGGCGCCCGGTCGGCTCCCCGTGTCTAATGGGCCTCCCGGGCAGGGCCGGAGCAGGTGGCGTCGGCGGCTCGCTGACGCATCGCCGACGCAGCGGCGGCGCGAGTCGATGTGCAGCCCGACGTGCTTCACGTCGCCGTCGCCGATGCATCGCCGACGTCGACGGTGCGTCGCCGGTGCATCGCCGATGCGTCGCCGATGCATCGCGGGTGCATCGCTGGTGCATCGCTGGTGCGGCGCGATCATCCGACCCCATCTGCTCCGACCCCATGCAGGAGGCCTTTACGTATTTACCCGTCCAGATCCTGGCGCCACCGCGATTCATGATGGCAGTGCTTTGCCCCCCCTGCCCGCATTGCGTGGATGCCAGTGTTGGGCTCTGGGGGCGTTAGCCGACGACTCTGGGTGAGAGGTGGTCCCTGTGATTGGGTCGAGAGGTCCAGGGGTCCACGTCACAGGACCACGTTGACGTCGGATGTGATCCAGTTGCTGCCGCGTAGGGTACTTCTTGCATGGGCTCGGCCGTTGTACGGAGAAAGGTGCGAGGGGCACCCGCCTTGGATGCGAGATTACAACGGTCTTGGGGCTATCAGTCTGTTCAGTGCTCTGACAGGGCCTTGTGAGGCCTTTGTGGGCTTCGGACGCTTCTTTTGGACGGGCCAGGCGGCTGTGCCACGTCGAGACACGATTCAGGCATTCTTTGTTCCTGTGCTTATGCAGTGCCTCGCACTATTTCTCTGGGTACTCGCCCCGTCTCCCTCTTCTTCTCTCCTCTTCTCCTTCGTCCTCACTATCCGCCATCATCCCCTCGCGCGCCGCCTGAATATTTCCGTCGTGCCAGATTGCCTGCTCAAATCGTTGATTGGAACGGGCGTTCTACCTTTTGCTGGATTGATCACGGCGGTGTTTCCTCATGTATGTGGACAGCGACAACGTGTTCGAAGTCACCGTCAATCCAGTTCCGACGTTTCAAGTTTCGCCAGGTTGCGCCAGGCCCACCTACCAGCACCTCTTCGCGAGCTGTTTTGGCGGCATGCGAGAGGCGCAGGCTGCCAGGCGCCTATTACTCGCGAGATATGTTCATGCTCGGCGTGGCCTCGGGCACGGTCCCCAGTCGTGTCGTTGTTGCGGTATCTTGTACATTTAGTCCTCGTTGTATTCTTATTTGCTCATCTAGTCTGCGGCTTACACGACACCATGCCAGCCAGCAGCGCAGCAGAAAGGAATTCGAATGCAGCAATGCAGAAAGGAATTTGACGTGTCGTGTACCCCCACGGGCCCATCCAGAAACGATGCCCAGGGGAGTTTCATTGATCAAGCGAGGGGGCAGCTATCGAACCGAAGATGGTGATCCGCCTGAGCAGGCCCATGAGTCAACTCGGCGCACCGGGGCCCGACACCAACGCCAAGATCCCATTGGACAAAAAATCATAGCCTCCGTTGGCTGCCGTCGCCCGTGTGGTCGGGCTCGCGTGTCCTACGTTGATGAATGCCAGCTCTGGGCGCGTGGGAACAAGGCGGATCGTTTCTATTTCCCCAGGTGGACGTTCGGATTTCCATGGGCCGCGCGAGGCCCGTGGGCCGCGCGAACGCAGCCGGCCCGATGAACCCCACAAGTCCCACAAAGGTTTCATGGGCCGCACGTGCGCCGCAGCGCGCATGGGCCCAATGCGCCGCGCTGGCCTAGCGAGCCGCGCGGGCCCCATGGGCCCCCTGATTCGTCAGGGCCACATTGGGTTTCTGGGCCTTGCGAGTCCCACGGACCATGGGAGCCCCATGGGCCCTAGGGGTGCCATGAGCCCCATGGGACGTTTTCCTATCATGCAAGCCCCATGGCCTGCACATTCGGAGACCAATGCGAGCCATCTCAAGCGTTCCAGGGTCCTTTGGGTCGCTCAGCCCCCACAGGGAAAGCGCTCCCAACTTTTCCAGTGGCGTCTAGGTGCTGATGCCGGCTTTTCGTTCTCTGCAACATCAAAAAGCCGACACCAGCACTAAGGCCCCCTCTGGAACGGCGGCCCCATGGGCGAGCTGAACCGTTCGACGATCTCGGAAGTTCGCCAGGGGCTGCGGGCCCCGGTCAAGAGGGAGCCGCGAGCGGGCGGGGGGAAGCGTGGGGGAGGGCGGCGGTGGAGGGAGTGAGGTTTCGGTCATGGAGGATGCCGCATTCTTTGTTCTTTTCTCCCTCCTCTCCCTGGATCGCCCGCCAGTTTCGCTTCTCGCTTGCACTTGTTATTTCCTGCTCTCCCTCCTACCTGCTGTGCGACGTTTCCCTCCCCCCGCCCCCCCCCGGCCGCCCTGCGTTTCCTCGGGCCAGGGCGGGGTCGCGCTGGCCCAAAACGGAATTCAACATTTCGCGGACAACTATTTTCTTGGTGTTGTTTTCGAGGATCTTTCGATATGGGAGCCTCTTGGCAGCTTGCTTGGGTCATGCTGGGGCCTTCTTGGAGCCATTCTGGATGCCCGTGGGGCTATCATTGGGCCTTTTTGGGGCCTTCCTGGGGGCCTTGAGTCCTCTCTGGGCCATATCGGAGACCATCGATCGAAGAAGGAGGGATCTTAGCATCGCGCAACCCCCCCCAGCCCATCCAGAACCGATGCTCAGGCGAGCCGCCCTGGCCAGGGATGTGGAGGAGCATGCAGTGAAACAGTGGGGATGGGAGCAGTCCTACCCCAAGATGGGGAAGGGGAAGGGGGAGGGGGAGGGGGGAGGCGCGAGGAGGAGGACTAGGCGGTGAGGAAGAGAAGGAGGAGGGCGAGCCGAAAGGCCGGAGGCCTCTTGGATGCCTCTCGGAGGTTCTCCGGATGTGCCCTGGGAGTTGTTGTGGGGTCCTCTTGGGGCGCCGTGGGAGCCTCCTTGCGGTCCCAGAGGCCTCTCGGAGCGTTGTGGGTGCCTCGGGGGGGCCTTTTCGGGGCCTCTTGGGGTCTCTTGGGAGCCTTTTTGTAGCCTCCTGGGCGACTCTGCGGACACTCTTGGGGCACTTCGGAGCCATCTCGGGGCCATCCTGGGAAAGTTTTATCAAAGAAAGGAGGGCCCTGAATTAGCATTGTCCCCCAGGGGGCTAACATGGGCCCCACACCTAAATAACATCAGTGTTAGGCAGCGCGGCCCCACACACCGCGTTTGCTTAGAATCCAGGCGGAGCAACCTATGTGGTGCAATATCGGAGACGCCGATGGCGAATCACCGCCGCCTCCTGCTGTTTGGAATTGCCAATGTGGCCGGACGTTGTGGCCAGAGCTTTGCCAAGCTATCCGACCATGTGTTCCCTTTTCCGTCGTGGAAACCGTTCACGTTCAGGGAATACGCGGGCGAGAAAGAAGACGCGGAGGAGAGGGAGGACAACTAGAAAGGAGGATGCGGAGGAGGATGAGAAGGAGGAGGAGGAGGACGAGGAGGCGGATGAGGCTAAGGAGGAGGAGGACGAGGACTCTTAGAGCCCTCTGGGTGTGTCGTGTGGGCCTCTTGGCCGCCTGTCTCTGGGACTCGCTCATGTGGCCGATCGTTGCGGCGAGATCCCTGCCAAGCTATCCGACCTTAGTGGGCCCTGGAAACGACAGGGCCGTTTTTTTACCGGTTCCGTTTTGCCGTTTTTGCGAGTTCCGACGCTGTTTTTTACCGGTTCCGTCGCCGTTTTTTGACCGGTTCGGGCTTCGGTTCCAATCCTGGAGCTTCTTTTTGCCGTTTCCGGTCGCCGTTTTTTTGCCGTTTCCATTTTCAAGGGACATGTTTGTTGGAAATGGTGAAAAAACGGCCCTGCCGTTTCCGGGGCCCACGAAGTATCCGAACATGTGTTCCTCCAGCCGTTGTGGAGAACATTCGGGGAACACTCGGGGGAGAACGACGAAGGACAATTCAGAGTGAAGGGGGCGAGCGGGCGAGCGGTCAATCACTGTCCGCGGGTGCGTGGCTGAAGTGGGATTCCGCGATGCGGTCTCTCGTCGTTGTTGTTGTTGTTGTTGAACATTATTAATTCTAAAGAATAATTATTGTTGGGGCCCCTGGTGCGCGCCCCCCCCGCCGCGCCTAGGCCGCAGCCACATTTTCATCATTTTCGTGAGGAAGTCTCAGGCAAAACGGGGTATACCAGATCCGGTTGTGTTGTTACGATCGGTTTTCCCTTGCAAAAAATAAGGCAAAGTGGACATTTCTTGTTCTAACATGACCAAACTTCAAGAATCCCTTGCAAAAAAAACCCCGAAGTGCACATTCGCGCGCGCAAGACGAAATCCTTCCAAAACCTTAGTCTTCGTAGCGATTTTCAAATAAAAACATTAAAAACCCAATGGATTTTCAAAAAATAAGTTTCAAAAATTCACTCCGCGCGCTCTTGCGGATTTCTTAGGAAACCCAATACTTTTTCAACATTTCTGTCAAACGGGCTCTTGCGAGCAACTTTTTCACGTGCTTCGAACTTCTGCAACA